AGATCAAGTTTACTCCGATAGGGGGTCGTGTTCTGAACAAAATTAGTACACCCAAAAATCTTAGGGTTTAAGGTTGAGAAGATCTGATTGTCAGGAAAGTATGACATCAAGATGCTAAGTGAGTTTGAAACTTTTGAATTTTAGAGGAGACTATTTATGAGATAAGTAACACTGAGAATAATATCGTTCCAAAACTATTTTGAGACATTGGATTGAAATATAATGGAGCGAGCAATGTCGAGGAGATGAAGGTTTTTCTTCTCAGTACCCTATTTTGTTAAAGTGTGTTCATACACGAGCTATGGTGGAGGATGCTCTTGTTCACCAAAAATTCACTCAAAAGGGAGTTGAAAGAGTCGCGACCATTATCAGTTCGAATGTCCTGAATAGGAGTTTTCAATTGAGTTAAACTGAAGGTATAGAAGATCTTTTAAAATGTAGACTCACGTCATCCGAGTATGGTCATCAATCAAAGTCAGGAACTACCTTTTATTATTGTAGTTAGAAGTTCGAAAGGGTCCCCATAGATCACTGTGAATGAGAGAGAAATGAGCGGAAGGCGTGTAAGTGTGGGGTGGGTAATAAATCCGATGATGTTTGGTTAATTAATGTCACGCAATTGAAATTATATAATTTTTTATTAGAAAATATCAACAGATATAATTTATTTAAATATTAGTAATTAGGATGACTCAAACGACAGTACAACTCTATAATGGGGCATTCAATGGCTCGAGATGAGCGACAACCCCTGTGGGGTGTGCCCTCACTCCCTATGCTCTTCTTGGAAGTGGTAAAATGCAACTACTCTATTAGCAGTTCCAACCATCCTCCCCGAACGACGATCCTGAAAAACATAATCATCGGAAGATAACAATGTAATCAATATCATTTGTCAACTTGCTGAAAGATAAAAAGTTACATTACAACAAAAGAACATGTAAAATAGACTTTAGAGTTAGACCGATTGTTAGTACAACCATAGTAGCTGTATAACTACATGAGTCATTGGCAATCCTGACAGTATCTTTTCCAGAGCATGGATAGTAAGCTGAGAAAACTTATGAACATCTAGTAATGTGATTTGTAACACCTGAATCAACAATCCATGGACTAGAGGAGGAAAAAATCGTGAGAGCCATAGGAAGAGTCCTTATCGGACTTGGGAGATTGATGCACTTGCAGAGAATTGATTGGCTCAAGTAGCTTGATCAATTACTTCATTTAATTTTTTTAGGGATTCAGAGGATTCTGAGATGTTCTGGGTTGGAGTTGGTTGAACAATGGTAGATTCGAACGTCGTCGTGAGACTCTTGGTAGCAGAGGATTTGAATGAAGATTTGTTTGTCGGTTTACTATGAAGCTTCCAATACTTGTTCCGAATGTGGTTGGATTTGTGACAGTAATCACAAGTGGGATGATCGACCCGAGGGGGCATGGAAGAGGGTTGAGCACGATTCGAGATTAAGGCGGACGATTCGACTGAAAGAGCAGAAGTGTCGAGCATGACAAGCTTTTGACTCTCTTCTCGACGAATCTTGGTGAAGGTAGCACGAGCGGATAGGAGGGTTCCGACCTAGAATACGACCTCGAACTTCGTCAAGGTCTTTGTTAAGGCCGGCTAAGAATTTGAACGTGCGCTCCTTTTCTACAATCTTCTGAGAGAGAAAGGTTGGCCGAAGAATTCAATATGTAGTTGTAGTATAAGTCACACTTTTTCCATAGTGCAACAAGGTTATTATAGTACTGGGTCACGTTCGTTGACCACTGTTTTGCCTCATGGATTTTCTTAGACACCTCATAGAGTTGGTCCAAATTTTCTACATCTGTGTAGTTATCACGGGCAGCCGTCCAGAGGTCGCTAGCTAAAGGTAGAAACATGCATGAACGACCAATTGCCATTTTCATGGAGTTGATCGTCGCCATGACATGGCCATGGAGTTCTCCGAGCTCCATAAGTTGGGTCAGTCTTTGGAGGCTCACGAACCCAAACTTTCCACGTCCTTTGATGAACAACGACACCACTTGCGACCATTGGAGAAAGCTACTGTCGTTCAATTTATGGGTTGTGATTAAGAAATTCATGTTGGTTTCTAATCCTCTTGTGCAAGGTAGTGGAAATTGGGCATGACCAGCTTTTTTGTGATATTATTTTTTTTTTGGGAATATAGCTAGCTGCTCTTATGGAAGAGAGCTTGATGGTTATGTTATAGGTGTACTCAATAGTATTTTATTTATCTATATTTATATTATTATATTGTCAATATATTATTTTGATCATATTTAATTAATTTTCATATTTATCACGTCATTCGGTTCAACCCCAATCAAACCAATGAATCTTGATCGTTTCCTTCTTCCGATTTGATCTCTAATCTGATTTTCACAACTGTGTAATAAATAGTAATCATGCATTTAGATTTAGAAAAACTTTAGTTGGGAATCTTTAAGAAAGAAATTCTAGGAAATCTTAAAATTAATTTAATTTTCAATGTATTTGATTTTTTCTTATTTTTTAAAATTGCTAGCAATTAATTTTTTGTGTTATTCTCTCATTCCGTGTCTTCCTTAAGAATTTGCATCTAACACTTGCTTGATAATTTTAGACAACTTATTTTAAAGTTACTTTAGAAGATGACATTGTATCTATTACTATTGTTGTATCGCATAGATATCCAGTGCATTAACATAGCATGTTTGTTTGTGATGAATCATGGTTTGTGTTTCATGAAGAACTAATTTTATATCATCAGGTATTTGATGAGTATCCAATGTTATATTTGGTGGAGCAAATTTTTTTTCCAAGTTAGATATATTGATGTGGACTCCTTCGCCATTCTATCATTGGCTACTAAGCTGCTCCTATTTGATGGTAATTAGTTATGAGTTTTTGCTATTTTCGCTCATGAAACCCTATGTGGGGTTTCTGTTGTTGTTAACTATAGATTTTATTCTATGGTGTGCGAGAAATTTTTTATGCAATTGATTTAATTTTTTATTGCGATGTATATCTAATCAATTTAAAATATGAACCAGATCATATTTATTAATTACATTAGATTGGCTTTGTTATAACTATATCTTTTAACGTAGGTATAAGAATTTTATAAATACATGTTCTAAGATTAACATATCTTGATTGAATAAGATTTCTAGAAGTATTTCCTTGTACTTGTGTGGTTGTGTAAGGCTGAATTTTTTAATTTAAACTATTTTTTCTTATCCAGTTTCTTTTTGAATTTTGTTATGATTTTGTAGTGTTCCTAATTACATTCAAATTTTAGAAAATACGATTTTGACTATAGTAATTAAATTATTATTTTTATTAATTTTGCGTGGATCAATTTTTGTTGATCTCTTCCTATTCTTTCGATTATTATTTTATTTTTTATTAATATTATAATGTGCATTTAAAGAGAGCTGGCTTGAATCTTAAATTTCTTTGTATGATTTACATATATTGCATCATTTTAGTTGCATTAGGATATAGGAATCTCTAACCTTAATTTGTATGTCCAAGGAAAATAATAATTTTCATTGGAGTTAAAGGAGAGAGAGTCTTGGAAGCAAGGAGGGAGGGAACAACTCTATATATCTTTTAAGTCCCTGTTGTAGTACCTTCATTAGTGTTTTAAGCCAATTTTTTTAATGAATGCTCGTGATCATGATCCACTAATAACTTGCACTTTTGTTGGATGAAGCATGGGAGCTAAAAATTATGAAAAGCAAGATGATTCTTAACAAAGCTATTGACATCTTTCTCAATTTCCTTAATTGTGTTATCTTAACATCCTATCTAAATTGGACTTTTCTTTTATTAAATGGCTGGCCTTAATTTGTTATGCATGCTTCGGAAATCTCAATTATTTAAAATAAGCTTTGTTTAACATTGAATTTAATAGTTTGATGAATATCGATATGCACTTAAATATTTAATCAATAAATAAATGTATGGTTTACCTCTATAAGTATAATGGCTATTTTTTTACTTGAACATAGGTTTGCGATGGATGTCTTTATGTATTACAATATGTTTGTATTATACTTTTCTAAGTCGGCATTTGTTTATTTTTATATATACTTCAATTTATAAATCTACTCGGAAATGTTAGCCGCTACTTTTGCTTATGTGTATATAGCTTTAGTTATGAATCTCCAAGCTATGTGTACTGTAAATAAGTTCAATGAATTTGTGATAAATAAAGGAGACAGGGCTAAGTAATGAATAATTTGGGAATAACAATTATTGATTATATTTTACATGGATAAATGAACTTATAAAGCTGATCCAAAATAGTAGGGATAAGTTTAATGCTTTTTTTTTCATAATGTTAAGTAGACTTGGATTGTTTAGACATGTTGAATATAATGTAAGAGATTGGACCAATAAGTTAGGGTGATATAATCACATGAAAATATGATCAGGGATTTAAAAAGAGTACAGAAAGATAACCTGATAAGTAGCCGTGGAAACATAGTTATGCCCATCAGGTTAACAACATATTAGCATTTAAAAAAAGCGAATGGTCAAGAAGAACTTATAGCCTATCCCTAAATTGTTGGTACATGGATTATTATGTTAGACGTTGATGTTGTCTTTGCCCCTCACCCACTATGTATATACATACACTAAAATAGTTTGGATAAAGGTAGTGATGGTGGTGAGTGACAGATAGATCTCTCCCTTTTGTCTCTATTAAAACATATTCAAAATTTATCCTTTTCCATCCACCCAGTCAATATTTCTATTTTACATTATCATTTTGGTGACTTGTCTGGTCCCTTTTGTACTGGGAGCGTTTGAGTTTCTGTGAATTTTTTAAGCTAATGATCCTTGACAAATTATTACTCTAAATATTTTAATATTAATGCTTTGAATTTGTCAAGTTGAAAGATAAATTAAGATGCTCATAATTGTCATAAGTGTCTATTCTTTGCAAATAAAATGCATATGCTGCTTCTCTTTGGTATTCTAATGGACTGTAATTTGCTATTTTTAGATTTTGACATGTCAGAATCGCAACGGGATCATGCTTTGGTTATTGAAAGCCTATCACCAAGATTAGCAGCTCTTAGAATAGAGCTTTGCCCAACTCATATGAGCATAGGATGTTTCTGGAAGATCTATTTTGCACTTTTACATCCTAGATTGAGTAAGCATGATGCTGATCTTTTGTCAACACCGCAGGTGAGTTTCCGAAGCAATTTATTTTAATGTTTTCTAATTTTGCATTGCATTACTATTAAAATCGAGAAATTACAAAAAATGTATAAAATTAGGCTACTTGGGCATTTACAATGTGATCTCTATCCTTTTCAAGAAAAGCAGAAAGTGTATGATGCTCATTTACATGTGAAATAAAAACTATTATAATTGGGCACAAAAATAAGCGGTAACATTTGCTTCCCTTGGAATATGACAAAAAAGAAATTGTTTGAAGTGCAGAAGGAACCCTAAATTCGGATACAATTGTTGTAGATTGCTCCAATTCATAGAATCCATGGTATCTCGGAAAAAGGCGAGTCAACTTTTTGCTTTCACCTTCTAAAATGATACCTTTCACCTCATACATCCACGGTTCAATAATACAGGGATCATAAAAACCGCTTGTAGCTCAACTTGCTTCCTCTCCCAATGGATTGAGAAAGCAGCCAAAAGTTTGCCCACCTCATCTCTCATAATGCCACCTAAACTGCTAGTATGAGGCAACCGTCCACACTAATCTTGATCCAACCTGGAGGGGACTGCCAAAGGCTGGGAGAAGGCCGGTCAAGTTAATTAGCACTTCAGTGCTCTTGAGTTGGAAGTTGATGTGTATGGTGAGACCCTCAATTACCATTGAGGCAATAATATAGGGGTGTCGTGTGGCTTACCATGCTTTTTGGCATTACGAGAATGCCAACACTGTGTTGACCTCATTTTTGAGGTCATTTCCTTTCCTTAGAGCCTAGGTTCTAGCTCTAGGATTTCCTATTGACCATCTTAGAAAACTAGAATTGAGACTCACCCTTCTAGTCAATTCCTATTTTCCTTTGATGTCTAGCATCTTTGGCACAAGACCATCGTCTTATGAACGAGCGGTTATGGGTTATTTTGCGAAGATTCAAGGGAAATGTTCCAAATAGGACTTCAAGCCTTAGGAAAACATCGTCACGACCTTTTCGTCACATACACACATTAAATACACAAAGTTCACAAAATTGCACGAAATCAGAATTCAATTTAGCCCAAAGGATGGGTGAAAATGCGAACTTCTTCGGATGACCTCCGACGACAAATTGGACTGCGCCAACGCGTCCGGGATACCCATTTTGGTAGGAAA